TACCCTGTGGGGAAAATCTCTAGTTCTGAACTGGTGCGCTTCTAGTACATTTAGACCCAGTACTGGTTCGCGATAAATCTCTTTTGCATGCAAGCAACTGGCGAATTTAACATGGCGATGTCCTAGGAAGTGTCAATTGCCCCCCGCTGCATCCCTTTTTCGATAGTTCCGAACTAGTCCTAAATTCTATAGTTCCGAAGCAGTTCTAAAATCGACAGACGAAAGAAAAAAGCATCATGATTTTACAATCTTTTTGGTTCTTCCGTGTGTGCGCTTTTAAGTTATTTTGGAAGAAATGTGTTTTCAATTTGAAATTAAATTTGTTTGAATGATTGTAAGAAATGTACGTTTACATACCTTTAGCTGTAGCTGAGTTTGCAGAGGTGCTCGCTGTTATTTGTTAGATGCCAGACTGTCCCATGATGTTAAAATGTTAACACAAATTTTAGTTTTGTATTACCAAGCTATGAAAAAGCATCTGCGAAGCACAGAATAGAAGCGTATTTGAACGAAAAAGCCGCCGAATACATATCTATGTAAAGTAAACAAGCCCCCCGCTGCATCCCTTATTCGATGGTTCCGAACTGGTTCTAAATTCGACAAATAAGATCTAGTTCGCTCTGCATCCCTTTTTCTATAGTTCCGAACTATTTCTAAATTCGTCACTTTAGATATAGATTTGTAGTGAAAAAAACTGAAAGAAATTAGTTTTTTAAAATTACCACTTTTCGCAGATTTTGGACTGGTAGGGATTTAGTTCCTATCGGACTAGTTCCTTTTTGGCGATAAAGACCTAGTACGGAACTAGAAATTTGATTCACTAGTCCGTGGTTTCCCTACAGGGTACATGTGTGTGTGAGTGTGGATGTGTGCGAGCGTATCCCTGTGCGTGAAAGCGTGCGCGTGTATGCGTGTAACTTTTGAGTGAAGGTAGTAAGCAATTTCGCTACGATCGACGTATCGGGGCACGATCGCCAAATAACTGAAGTGAAAAATCAAAGCAAAAGTTGGCTTCTAGAAGAGTAACCGTGTAGTGAAAAATCCGCGGAAGTATTCCTTTTAACAAAAATAAAACAGCAGACAAGTGTGTATTTTTTTTTTTTGCCGTTTAACCGGAATCGCCTACGGTTTGGAAAAAAAGGACCGTTTTAAGTCCTGCTACTAGGTAAGTAGAATAAAAATTAATAAAAATCAATTTAAGTTTAATTCGTTTTGAAAATTTTCGTTCAAATCAAAATAAAGTTAATAAAAGAAATGTGAACTAAAAGCTGTGCGTGCTACAAGGAAAAAAATGCATGAAATCGACATGGAAATAAGTTAAACTCAGTACATAATAGAACCCAGTTTAATCTGACTAAATCCACTTGAATTTATGAAATAAAATTAAATAAATTGCAATAAAAGTTAGTAGATTAAAATAAAGTAGAACAAAGTAAAATAAAGTAAATTAAAGTAAAATGATGATAAAATAAAAATAAAATATTCCAAATAAAGATAAAATAATACAATAAGAGTGATAATAAAATCAAATTGAATAAAATTAAAGCTATTGTAAATTAATTGAAAAGGAGTTGGACTGCAGTTAAAGTCAGAGTTACATATCCACATATATATATACATAAGTGTGTGTATGCACAAACGGCCAATCACACTATTATTATTATTATTATTATGAGCCTTGAGCACTGCGACCTCTAAGGTGGTCTATTGTGCGTGGCCTTTTACCCTATATATGAAGGCTTTTAATATAAGCTAGCACTTCGGTGGGCTTTTTGTTCCATATTTCGAATGGATTAAGTGTTGTACCGCCTAGGTGAGCGAGTCTGCGTCTAGCGAGAGCAACACATTCACAAAGGATGTGTTCTGGCGTTTCTTCGTCCATCTCACAGAAGCGACAGACGCTCGTGTCTGAAAGATTCATTTTACTGAGGTGATAACGCAGGGAACAATGTCCCGTGTAGTACCCAGTGAGAGTTCGAAGGTCCTCCCTGCCTAGATTTATGAGCTTTTTTGAAGCTTCTCGTGATGGACAGATGAACCGCTTAGCTTGTCTTTGCCCCGGACATTCATTCCAGTGCCTTTCGAATTTTTTGTCGACCCACTTGTTTATGACCTCCCTTAAGTGGGCTGTGGTGAGCCCGCAGAAGGGTTCCGGGCCATAGAATAGTGTGGTAGCTCCGTGTTTTGCTAGGCGGTCCGCCTGTTCATTGCCGTCATGGCCCTCGTGCCCCGGCACCCAGCCCAGTAATACTGTGTTCTTGCTTCCAAGACCGTTTAGGGTGTTGAGGCAGTCGTACACTAGTTTGGATGTTATTATGTGGGACCTCAGTGCTAGCAAGGCAGCCTGACTGTCCGACATAATGCAGATGTTTTTAGAGGATGTGCCTCTTCTGAGGCATTCTCTGCCGCAGATATCGATCGCATGAATCTCTGCTTGAAAAATGGTGGGGTAGCTGCCCATTGGTATCGATCTTTTAAAATTCGGCCCCAATATACCAGCTCCAGTTTTTCCATCTTCAAGTTTTGATCCGTCAGTGTACCAAACTTCAGCTCCGGGTTTGGTGTAGGGGTTTCCTGTGCTCCAGGATGCTCGGTCCGCAATAGATACCTTGAAATTCCTAGAAATTACTAGTATCGGAGCTACTGAGTCCCTCATATGCATTATGGGGTCATTTGTGAATTTCATAAGGACCTTCATATGACCTGTCATGTTTCCGGTTTTTAACTCGGAAGTGTTTAGGATTCTCAGTGCCGAGAGACTGGCCTCCCTCTCTATTAGAATTGGGAAGGGCGGTATGCCTACAAGAGCACTAAGTGCATCAGCAGGACAGGTCCGCATAGCCCCTGTTATACCAATGCACACCTTTCGGTGTAGTTTGCTTAGTTTTGCGCTAGCAGTTCTTTGTGTCGCTTTTGTCCACCATGCCAAGGATGCATAGGTGACTATCGGCTTCACAACTGTGTTGAATGACCAGTAAGTCATTTTGGGGGAGAGTCCCCATGTCTTCCCGTAAAGTCGCTTGCATGCGAAGAAGGCTCTCATTGCCTTGTTTACGGTTGCATCCAAATGTACATTCCAGGTGAGTGTCTTATCTAGCCACACCCCCAGGTATTTTGCTTCATTTGAGAGCCCTATTCTAGTGCCGCCCAGAGTCAATTCTGTCATGGATAACTTTTTCCTCCGGGTAAACGGAACCAGAATAGATTTAGTAGGATTAATGGATAATCCTTTGGTGTCACACCATCTTTGCGTAATGCGCAGGGCTTGTTGCATGCGGTTGGAGATCGTTTCGTCATGCAGCCCTGTTACACAAATTACCAGATCGTCTGCATATCCTTGTGTTTCAAAGCCATGGTCGTTCAGTAGGAACAGGAGTTCGTCTATAACCATAGTCCACAGAAGAGGAGAGAGTACACCCCCTTGAGGGCAACCTCTTGTGGCTGTAATCGATTCTTTCGTGCCTCCCAGCTCCATCCTGATCTTCCTTGTTTTTAGCATAGAAAGCACCCAATTTATTATGATGGGGCTCACTCCCTTGCATATCAGGGCATCTCTTATTGCCCTGTATGACGTGTTGTCAAAAGCCCCTGAAATGTCAATGAAGGCACAAAGGGCTATGTTCTTAGACTCCAGAGCCTTTTCGATTTTCGATGTAAGGCTGTGAATGGCAGTCTCAGTGGACTTGCCTGGTTGATAGGCAAATTGGTTCTTATTCAGTGGTCGTTCCGCTAGGTTGACTTCTCTGATATGTTGATCCAAGATTTTCTCCATGCCTTTTAGGAGAAAGGAGCTGAGGCTAATTGGTCTGTAGGATGAAGGCATTTGCTCCGGTTTACCTGCCTTCGGTAAAAATACCACCTTAGCCTCAGTCCATCTACTGGGAATGTGACCCAGTAGGAGCGACGCTCTGTATAGTCTGGAGAGGACTGGGGCTATGTAGTTACTACCTTGTTGGAGTTGACAAGGATAGACCCCATCTGGTCCTGGTGATTTGTATGGGCTGAAGGTAGATATCGCCCATTGCACTCTTTCTACCGTGGTAAGTTTAGTTGCAAGGCTTTGCTCTCTACCAGAAGTGCGTGCTGGGACACCCAATTCCGGTAGATAATAGCCCGCTTTGCAGCCCGGGAAGTGAGTGTCTAGCAGAAGTCTGCAAGTCTCTCCCGGATGCTGAGTATAACTACCATCTGGTTTCTTTAGAGTGCCGATCGTATTTTTGTGTTCCCTATTTAGAGCTTTTTGGAGGCGTACTGCCTCTGGGAGGCTCTTTATTTCCTCGCAGTGGTTTCGCCAGCTAGCTCTTTTGGATTTCCGCAATTCTTTGTTGTAAGAAGTTAGTGCAAGTTTGTACGGATTCCAATCACCCGTATTCTTTGCTCTATTGAATAGTTTTCTGGCTTGGCATCTCATTTGCTCAAGCTTCTTGCTCCACCAAGGCACATCACGTTTGGATTTTACCTTTCCTTGGGGACAGCTACTATTGAAAGCTATTCCAATGTCTGAATGAAGCTGTTCAGCTTCAGTTTCAAGCTCGTGCGCAGTCGTAATTTGACCACCATGGCTGTTTCCACCTTCTTCCCTGATAAAGCGAAAGAATTCCCAGTTCGTTTTTCTGGGATTTCTAAAAACTAGTTCCTGCTCAGGAAAGTGGCCAATGTCGAATTCTATGTGCATATGGTCCGACATTGATACCTCCCCTGAGACGCGCCAGTTTGTGACAGAAGCTGCCATGTTCTGACTACTTAGAGTAAGATCTAAGACTTCCCCTCTAATAGCGTTCCTGAACGTTGGTTCATTGCCATGGTTTATAATACTTATATTATAACTACTTATAAACTCAAGGAGGTACTCACCCCTTTTGTTGGTGTCGGTGCTCCCCCAGACAGTGCTATGGGCATTTGCATCACAACAGAGGATCCAGGGTATACCACTCTGCCGGCAGTGATCCGTAAGCGCCTTTACCTCTGGTGTCGGGGCTATCTCCTCCTCACCCGGGAAGTACGCGGAGGCAAGTACTGCCTCTTGCACCCCCCTAGGAGTAGGAATTTTGGCCCATACCGCAACGAGATCTGCCGTAATGAACTGTGAAAGAGGGAGAAACGTTATTTTGTTACATAATAGCATCGCCGCTCTTGGGCGACAGCTGGTGGCATAGATGATCTTACCGTCCTTTGTATTAAGGCCTTTGACGTCACCTCTTAATATCCAGGGTTCCTGGATGAAGGCTACACCTAAGCCTTCGTTTGTGAACCTCCTATGTAAAACATCTGATGCTGCTTTCGCGTGGTGAAGGTTCACTTGGAGGCATTTAATGTGCCTCAGATTTGTAGAGTTTTTGGGGTGAGGTGCCATTACTTGCGGTCTTTTCGGCCGCGAGCAGCCACCTTCTTCCCCCTGTTGCCCTTCAGCAAGACCGCTTCTTCGGCCGTCCTTGCATCTCCCTTGCCTTTGCGGCTGGACATAGCCGCTTTGGAGCTGCCACGTAGTGGTGGCCGTTTTGCAGGCTTTGGGGATGCGATGGGTCCAACGCCTTTTTGGGCTTCTTCCAGCACCTGTTGTAGGGTCGGGCATGTTGTTGTTGCTGTTTTCGGAGGCGTTGTTGGAGCTTTGTATGCTACGTGTAGCTCTGTGCCAACCTCCGATGACTTCTGCTGCACTTGCGTGTCATTGGGTAGCTGCCTGGGAGCTACGATGACGTCTTTGGAGCAGCAAGGTTGCTCCTCCGAGTTAGGGTATTCGGTGTCGGCGGCATCTTTGTCTACCACGGGCATCGACGGTTTGACTTTCTCCCTAAGTTTTACTACGCCAAAGCCATAGTTTACCACGTTCCCGCGGTGCTTTAGCGTGTCCGCTGATAGCGGGTCAACTGCAATGGTGATTTCCGCCATTGTTGACCTGCGTACTCGATTCAAAATGCGCCAGTCCGGAATTCTCAGGCCGTCATTCTGTGCCTGAAGAAGACTGAGCGCATCCTCACTGGCAGAGCTGTCCAGCTCTGGGAAGAGTCCCACAAGAATGATGCGGCGAGGTGTTTCTGCCTCCTCGACCACTTTCATCTTCGCCCCCTTCCATGGTGCCAGCTTTGGAACAGTGTTCCGTATCCACCCCGCGGTCGCAGCATCTCTGCAACTGATGGATAGCCATCCCGAGTGGAAGGTGCAACCCTTGAATATAGGCTTTACAGCGCTAACTGTGTTGCTCCTGACCGCCCTGAGGATGGCATTTTGGATAGCTTTGAGCTCATCCGTTGACCACACTGTGGTTGGATAGTCCTCTGGGACTAAGCCCAGCTTCACTCCGCATAGTGCATCCCTAAATGAAACCGGCTCTCCGCGACAATCTGCAGGTGCATGCGGCACAGTTGCCTCCCCGGTGGGCACAGATGCAGTCCCACCTGGCCTGCCCCCTGCAGATCCCTCACTGGATTTGGCGAATTTCTTCGGGGATCGCCTCTGCGGGGTAGAGCTATCAGACCTAGGTCTTTTTTGGAGAGTTTTCTTTTCCCTCCGTGGTGGGCCAACGGGTTCTTTGGCTTTTTCTCTAGCCTGCTCATAGCTCATTCCCCTTTCTATGTACCGCTTGAGGCGTTTCCGACCGGCTCCGCTAAGCCGCTCCCGCTCTCGAGCTTGATGAGGTGGGTTGTTCACCGGAGAGGCAAGCAACTTCTGCTCATCCTCCGGCGAGATATCAGATAGCGTTCTGACGGGACTTGCATCCTGTCTCACGCTAGTATCCACCATCTCTACGTCGTACGAGGGACTATGCGCCCCCGGTAGTTCCGTAGCGATGGTTTCTGTTTCGACAGAAGTCGAAAGGCCAGCATTGGCCATTGTTTGGAGCTGTGCAGCTCCTTCTGGCTTTTGATTTAAATTTTTACTGTTCATGTGTGTCCCACGAGTATGGGGGAAGGGATGTCAGCTGGGACATAGCCCCCAATATCCCGAGCAAGACTTCTTACAACCAGAGGGCGCCAGGTATCTGGAGGCCACCGTTATAAGACACACTTACGTAGTGCCATTCATCCCATAAGCACGGTACGGATGACACTCGGAATTACGGGTTTTATCGAGTTGTCCTCTCTAGATCCGCCATATTCAGTAAAAGCAGGGGCACCTCTCGCAGGGTGTGACTCGTCGCCACGTATGGTCGGTCTTGAGCCATCCGCTCCTGACTCAGAACATTACAACACGTATGAAGCAATATCAAGAGCCTTGACCCCCCACTAAAAATAAAAAAAAAATAAAAAACGTTCATATACACACGTACGTATATAGGTGCATATGTACATGTATACATACATACATGTAAATATATGCATCCAACATACATACATATGTGTATATTATAGAAAATTATCAAATTGAACTACTTTGAAGGCAACAAAACTAAAGGTGAATTTTTATTTTTTTTTAGAGCTGTGGCAGGACTACGTAAGGGGCCAAAACCTCCAAATTGGGACTTAAGCCTTTTCGCAGACAGAAATCCAACACTTCAGTAGCCACAGGTGGAACTTGGAGAACGGCTAAAAATCCCATGAATTACACCAAAGGGCGATGACCGTAGCCAGATGGAAAGCGAACATAGATTTGGATTGTTAGAACAGCATCCACTGTTAGAGCCAACTAAGGAGAGTCAGACTCAGAAGAGCGACAAAGTGATCGCCACTACTCGCCCATTTGACGGCGAGTGCTTTAGAATGACTTCCAGCCCGTGTCGTGGAAATAAAGAATCATCGTGGGAGAACGACTACAAAAAAAAAAAAACAAGGAGGAAAAGGGGACCGTGATAACGCAGCGCGCCGTAGCCCAACGTCGACGGCGACGTCAACATCAACGGGAGCAGCCGAGTCAGCAGATACCACCTTGTTGTTGTTTTTTTTGTTGCATTATTTTTTTTGGTGTTAAGAATTAAGATTTCCTAGTTTTCTCAGATTGTAGTTTGTAAGTAATTTAGCTTAATGTTTTTTTTGATAATTTAGAAATTTCCGTTTAGTTGTCAAATTTATTTTTTGGAGTGCTTTAGCATATGATTTTACCTTTTACTGAAATTCTCCTGTTTTCCTTTTCCGCAAACTTGTTTTTTTATTCTTTTACCCGCACTCGTATATACAATTTTTCTGAGTTAAAGTACATACTTTGGGTTACACAGTTTGAATGGTGTGATATCCATTGTGTTTAAGTTAGTTTTTTTTTATTTTAAAAGTTGCGGCTATTTTCTTTTATTTATTTTTTTTTTCTCGGTTTGGCCAGCATTCATCATTAATATTCTAGCACCGCGCGTATAAATTTTCTTTGCATTCTTTCTTTTCACTTTTCACTTTTTATTTCGCTTTTCGATTTATTATTTCTTTTTTGCCGGTAATAATGATCCACTCGACGCCCGCAAACGCGAGTGAATGATCACAGGATCAATTGCCAAAACTCATTGAAACTCAGCTTAGGCAATGTATGTAAATATGTATGTATGAATAGGTACATGTCAAACTCTTTCCCACAGGCTCTCTACAGCATGCTGGTACCAACATCGCTGGAGTGACCAGGTGAGTGGTTTTCTTCTTTGGTTTTATATTATCATATACATAACTCTAAAAAAATTGTTTACATTACCGCGCCTATGTATACTTGTACATAGGGTCCCATACATGTCTAAATACACACAAGTAGTCTGGCAGAATTAATGAATGTATTTCCAAATTGCTACTAAATTTTATATTTTTTTTGCGACGCCTTGAATCAAACATACATATATGAGTCTGGATTGAATTGATATATACTTACATATATGCATGGCTAAGCACACGATTTTGCTCTTTTTTTTTATTTTTTTGGTAACTTACGATTTTTTTGTTAATTCATTTCCCTCGAGTCTTATATAAGTTTAGTGGATGCATTTTAGTGTAAGTCTTGGGATTTCGTAGTAAGCATTGAAATGGATTGTATCTAATTAGAGTAATAAAGGAATATTTGTAATGCTTAGTATGAACTCCAGTGGTTGAAACGGATATGGTTGATAGGATGGAGGGTTAAGTTTTGAATCTTTGGTGTGTGGTGTTGTACTTGTGCAACAGAGTGGACATGGGAGTGGAGACGGGGTGACGCAACTGACTTCTACTTGACGGACGGTAACGTACGGACATAGGTCAGGCATAGGGGGCATCACTAAGTATTGGGAGTCAGACTGGTGCTCAAGGTTTCGTGAAATTTGTTCACTGAAGTGGGTGGGAGACTCCACCTGACTGGACCGGCCTTCTTCTCCTTTTTTGTCTCTCTCTATTTCTTCTCTTCTTTCGCATTTCATTTCAGTCCCAGGCATGAGTATAATTAAACTTTTGTTAGTGTAGTTGGTAGTTAGGCAAGTGCTTATTGGTGCCGACTTTATGGAGCAAGCGGGTATAGTAATAAATATGGCGCAATGATTTTGGCATTTCGAAGATGAACCAAAAGTCAAGTACGATTTTACCAAACCCAGCGAATGTAACAATCAGCTCTTTGTCTTGGATATAGCTGGAGAGTATATTAATGCTTGTAAGACTGCCGGCGTCCGCACACCAGATTTCATTCGAAAATCAAAATTTGTCGAATTTGTAGAAAACGGCTATCGAATGAGTCAAGCACCACGTACGCCAGAAATTGGTGCAGTTGAGAAACAAAAAGACGACCAAACAAATGATTACTCACCACATTCAATCCAGAAGATCTTCAGGAACTCAATTCCCGTTGGAGAAAATCATTCGCGGCTATTTGCTCCACCCATGAAAGTCCGAAGGGACTCAGACTATGACTTGCCTCTCCTCTCGATAGAGCTGACAATGCCACCGGAAACCGACGCTACCGGTTATTGGCAGATTGGTATGGAAGAAGAAGACCAAGACAAGACTGCGTTTGTCACCCCGTTTGGCATGTACAAGTTTACGCGTATGCCGTTTGGTTTGCGAAATGCACCTGCGACATTTCAGCGCCTCATTGACCGTTTAAAATTATCTCTGCCTGGTATAACACTGGTCGCTTACTTAGACGACATCATAGCCTGTTCGCAAAACTTCAAGGATCACTTGGAAGACTTGAGGAAAATTTTTGATCGTCTCCGATACTTCAACCTCAAAAACCAATAAGGACAAATGCCGATTTGCTTGCAACGAGGTTAAATATTTGGGTCATGTTCTAACACCGAATGGTATCATGGTTGATCCAGCTAAAGTTGAAGTGATTACGAAGCGCAGGTCACCTAAGAGTGTAAAGGAGCTACTGTCCTTTTTACAAGCCTGCTCTTGGTATAGACGTTTCGTGCCAGGTTTTGCTGATGTGTCCAAACCACTATCGCAACTTTAAAAAAAAAGGCAAGTTGGGTGGGGTCCACCTCCCAGCAGGACGCTTTCGAGAAGCTGGAGAATCTGTTAATAACATCTCCGACCCTAAAACAAGCGGACGAAGATTCGAATTTCATTTTGATGACCGATGCCAGTAGCTACGCACTTGGAGCAGTTCTACTCCAGGGGGAGGGCCCCATTGAGCACCCAATTGAGTCTACTGTGTTGACGAAAGCGGAACAAAATTACTCGACGATAGAGCGAGAAGCACTCGCTATAGTGTGGGCTGTACAAAAGTACCGAGGCTATATCGAGGGGTCCGAAGTGACATTAATTACTGATCATCAACCCCTTAAATGACTGATGACATTGAAGTCACCAAGCGGTCGCTTGGCACGGTGGGCGTTAAGTTTACAACCATACAACATGCGAGTCGAGTATCAGCCAGGGAAAATTAAAGTTGTGGCTGATATGCTATCGAGGGCACCCTGTGAAGCAAATCACGACGATATGGAAACGTGCACACTATGCTCTTTCGACGTAGAGTTCCCACGAATGGGCGCAAAGGACATCCGCGATAGCCAACTTAAAGATCCGGAATCGAAGCGCATTATCCAATGTTTCGAAGAAAATTCGGATGATATCATACATTGGTCAAATAGAGGTTACATTATAAATGATGGTGTTCTCTATTGCTATCATGATGAAGACACCGAAGAAGCACAATTGGTTATCCCCAAGGATGAACGACCTGCAATTTTTGAGCACTACCATAAAAAAGACACGGCAGGTCACTATGGAGTTGACCGAAAGCGGCCAAAATAATCTCTCGCTATTACTGGCCTGGCATTCGTCAAGATATCAAAAGACACGTAAACAACTGCACAGACTGTCAACGATATAAGGCAACGAATCTGAAACCGATGGGTCTATACCAAACTGTGTCGAGTAAGCAGCGATTCGAGATAATTGCAATCGATCTGTTCGCGCCTTTACCCACAGATGAAAACGGGTTTCAGTGGGTGTTTATTGTCGAAGATATTGCCAGCCGTTGAGTAGAACTCTTTGCTTTGATCGAAGCCACAGCTGAAAATTGTGCGAAGACCCTAATAAACGAGGTATTTTTACGATATGGCGTGCCTAGAAAGGTCATCAGTGACAACGGCGTGCAGTTTGTTTCAGCAGTAATGCAGAAGGTTGCCTTTTGCTTCGACATTGAGCAAGTTTTCACTCCCGTGTACCATCTGCAAGCTAATCCGGTCGAGAGGAAGAATCGCGACCTAAAGGCGTAATCGGCAATTGTTGTCGGTAGGCAACATCGGACATGGGCAGAGAAGCTAGCAGCTATTCGTTTCGCCATGAACACCACCCGTTGTCAAAGCACCGGATACACATCCGCCTTCCTTACATTTGGGCGAGAACTACGCACAGTAGACGATGTCCAGCACGACCTCAGAGCAGTGATACACTCCGAAAATTTCTTACCAGAGATCACTCCCTATCTGGCTACTATCGCTGACGCATTCAAAGATGTTAAGGACCGCGAAGAAAAACAGCAAGGCGCTAAAAAAAAGTTACAAATTCCCAGCGACGTGAACACAACCCTTTCGAAGTAGGGTCTAAAGTCCTGGTTACTACCCACATCCTGAGCAATGCAGCAAAGGGTGTAACGGCGAAGTTCGCTCCAAGAGGTGATGGGCCCTACGTCATCATTGAACGCAGAGGCGCAACTACATACGTTATCGCACACGAAGACGATCTACAACAACCACTCGGTATGTATCACGCATCAGCGCTCACTCCTTATGTTAGTACCACAGATGCCCGTGAAGTTCCTGTTAACGTTATACGCCGTCGAGGGCGTCCTCGGAAGACCCAGAAGTAGGCTGCCTCATCGGGACGATTTCAGC